AAATTCATGATGGAAATACAAAATTTTAGGAAGGAAAGAGATCCAATAAAGTGTAATTCATAAGTGAATGTGAAAGACCAATAATTTTTAAAAGCAAAAATAGTAAATATTTTGGTTATAATAAGATGATAAAACACAAGAACACAAAAACGTGAAACGTGATTCATGAAGTTAAGCTACTGTGAAGTTTTCATTTTCTTGAAAGTATTTAAGTACTAATCAGAGGCAGATTAGAAGTCAATAATAAATATTACAATACAGAATAACCACATAGTCACTTTTTTCATTACTGAAACAAAATGCCAGAAACTGGCAACTTAAAGGAGGAGAGATTTATTTTGGCTCTTGGTTTTAGTCCATGGTTGTGTGGCTCCTAGGCAGAAAGGCATGATGGGAGAACCTGACAGAGGAGAGCTGCTGACATCACGGTGGCCAGGAAGCCAGAGTGGGAGAAAAACAGGGGAAGGAAACACACCCTGACAGGTCAGGCCCTGGCAATGGCCTCTTCTGACCAGGCCCCACCTCCTACTATGACATTGAGCTATAGCACCCCCATGATCTAATTATCTTTCAAAAGCCCTGCCTATCAGCTCATGAGTCTTTGGTGGAACATCTAGATATAAACCATATCACTCAAAGAAAAATAAAGGATAAGTGCCTTGGAATAGAGAGATGAAGAAATGTAGAAGTCCTCTAACTGTAACATTTAAAAATATTATCTTCTTGAATGGAAAGACTAGTTATCAAATGTCAGTTCCCCCGAAATGGACCCATAGAATCAATGTAATCCCAATGAAAATCTCAGCAGGTTTTATTAATATGAAATAGGCGACTCTTATTCTAAGATTGTACAATAGCTCCTACTTCTAGATGTCAAGTCCCATGAAGTTATGATAATTATGTGGTAATCATAAAATGATAAAAATGGTAGAGAATTCAGAGTCAAGAAGTTATGCAGCACAGGTATGGCAACCTGATTTACCAGCAAAGCACCATTCTAATTCAGTGGAAAAAGGGTGGCGTTTCCAATAACCATGCTCTGTCAGTTGGGCACCCAGGGGAAGAAAAAGAGCCTCGATCCCTGCTTCACATCATACCTCAAAATCAATTTGAGATGGTTCATAAATCCAGATATAGAAAGGAGAAAACATAATGCTTCCAGAAGAAAACATAAGCGATTACCTTCATGACCTTGGACTGGGTAGAGACTTTAAACAGGGCACAAATTATATATGAAATACTGAAATATTGGACTCTATTAAAATTAAGAACTATTTGTCATCAAAATATGCCATCAAGACAATGAAAAGGTGAGCCTCACACTGCAATAAATGTCCAACAAGAGACTTAATCAATAATATATAAAGAATTCCTATAAATAAAAACATGATAACCCAATTAAAAGAATGGGCAAAAAGCTTTGAATAGAGATATACAAACAATATGTAAATGGTCAACAAGCATATGAAAATATGTTCAGCATCATTTATCAAAGGAATACAGCTCTAAGACCATGATGAAAAAAGTTTACATGTATAAGTATGTAAGTATGTGAAGGACAGAACTCTCAGTTTTTGCGTGTGGAATTGTCAACTGATGTAGGTATCCTGGAAAATGGTTGGGTGGGATCTACCCAAATCTGCAGCAGGTACATCTCAAGACTCAGCAATGCTGCTCTTTGATGGACACTATGGATTGAAAGTTTGTACCCTTGCACGCCCAGCTCATATAGTGAAGTCCTCATGTCCAAGGTGATATTGGTAGATTAGAAGGTGAGGCCTTTGGAAGTGAGTGAACTCATGGGTGGACTTAATGGTTTTGTGAAAGAGACTCTAAGGAGCTCTTTCTATCTAAGAAGACAGCAGCTGTGGTGTGCAAAAGTGTGTTCAACAGTCCTCGGCCATTCTGGCACCCTGACCTTGGACTCCTACCCACAGAACTGTGAGAAATAAGTGTATGCAGTTGTTAGGCCGCCTAGTCCGAGGCACTTTGGTTATAGTAGTCCGAGTGGACTAAGGTAGTTCAACAAAACACATTTATAAGAGTGATCATAACAACTGTATCCACTGTACTGCTAAGCCAGGAACAACTCAGAAGACCATCAACATTAGAATTAGTAATTCAGGCATGACACTGTAGAGCAAGGAAGCAAAGAACTATTGCTATGTGTCTGGGCAAAGATAAATCTTATAAACATAATTTTCTTTTTCTGGTACTGAGGATCAAACTCGGGACCTTGTGCTTACAAGGCAGGCACAGTGCCACTGAGCTAAATCCCTGGCCCTTTATAAACATAATTTTGACTGATAGAGAAGGTAGAGATTAACAAATATGTATCACAGGACTCCATTTGTATGAAATTTAAAATCAAGCAAAAGTAATCTGTTGACCAAGTGTTACTTACCATGCAGAAATGGTTCAGCTAGAGTTTTCTGTGGTGCTGGAAGTGTTCCACATTTTGGTCTTGGTCATGGTTATGTTAACACGGGTGGGGAGATACATAAAAATGTCATTCACCTATATATGTAAATTGTGTGCTTATTGAATGACAATTGTGTGTCAGTGAAAATTAATGATGTTAAAAAGATAAGCAAAAATATTCCTGAGGGAAAAGCACAAGATGAAAGGGAAATTGTCCTGTGAGACATCAAGACTTATAAAGCTCTAGTAGTTAAGAACGTGGTGTCAGTACAGGGATAGACAGTTTGATCCACATTGACAGAATAAAGAGAGAAGGAATTAGTCCCCATATGTATATGGAAGTATGACTGCAGAGCCTTAGGGAATAATTAATTCTTCAGCAGTGGTGCTGAGCAGCTGGTGCCTATGTTTTAAAATGTGACTTCTGCCTGCCATTCCACAAAAAATAAATAAATTCTGGACTACCATACAAGAGCAAAAAACGATGACATTTTAGATATAGGGAAATTTAAAATACAGGAAAATACGTATTGACCAACAGTAGTGGGATTTTATTAAATGAAGAATAAGAAGTCCTACTCATATAAGATAGAACACATAACAACACTGAAATTTCAAACTTCTGTTCATTAAAAGGCGAGAGAGAGAGAGAGAGAGAGAGAGAGAGAGAGAGAGAGAGAGAGCCACAAACTGGAAAAGGATATTTGCAACACATGTGAAAAAAAATCTAAAATATAGAATAAAATAAGAACTCTTTAAAAGGAAAAAAAGTCAAGTAGCACCATAGCAAAAATAGAGAAAGGTGGTGGCTGTTTTGCAGACAAGGTAACTAATAGAGAATAAACATAGAAAAAATTATAAACCTCATGAGGAACTGAGGAAATACAAATTAAGATCACAATGAGATGTAATTTACACCAGCAGCTGGGTAAAAATTTAGTCTGTAAATACTAAGTATTGGCAAGTATATCAACAGCTACTGCTGGAGGTATAAAGTATCCAACTACTTTGGAAAATAATTAGGCATTGTCTTGCCTATGTGAATAGTTTTACTCTGTAGCCTGGCAATTTCATTCATCATATACACTTTAAAAAATTATTGCACACATGTACTAGAACTTTCTAAGAATGTCTATTAAGAATTGCATATATTAATAGCAAGCAGAAACCTCAAATGGTCAGAGAAGAATGAATAAAAATAAATTATGGAGGGAAAAGCTTTATGAAGAAAAAAAGGAAAAAATATTACGGTATGTTTATGCAATGGTATTACACAATAGTGAAACTAAAATGACATGGAAAAAAAGCACACATCTTGGAAAATAGCAAGTTTCAGAAAACCATATGCCATGTTATAATAATCTTATAATGTTTTTAAATATGCAAAACTAAACACTTCAGTATTTATAGATGTATCCTAATCTAATAAAAATATTTAGAAAGCAAGAGAAGGGTAAGCCAAAAAAGCCAAGACAATAGGAAGAACACTTGGGTGGCTTAGAGACTAATGGTTATGCTCTTACGTTTGCTTCGTGTCTCACGTATTTTCATATACCATTGGATATGAGTCAAATGTTACAAGATGAATATTCTAATGGCCATTGTTACTTATGGGGTCAAATTTTTGCCAAAAATTACGTGGCGACAAAGAACAGAGAGTCTGAGAAACTCTCTAGCTTCTAGTCTGCCCTTCCCAAATAACAGCAACGTTACCCTGGAGAGGTTGCCGAAGTGTCTTGTGCCTCAGTGTTTGCATCTGTGAAAGGGCAATGAGAAAAGAAGCCAGTGGGCTTACTGTGATGATTAAATGCATTTATAGACGTGGAGCAGTCAGCAGACCTCCATAATGCGGCACGTGGCTCGCATCTTCACCCTGGGGGGTCAGATCCACCACCCCTCTTAGTTTCAGCTTATTTGCAAAATGGGCTAATAGGATTACAGAGAGACAACATGTATGCTGCAAATGACATGTAAAGCACAGTAGATAGCAGGCAGAATTCAACTGTAAAACATTTGATTTAACCCATGGATCTCCCACATTTGACTTTGAAATGAAAGAACTAGTTTCACGGTAAAGAATTAAAGATGGTAACCCTTGAAATGAATTATAGTGAGAAAAGGCACTGATGTAGAATAACTGGGCCTGGTGTTGCACAACTCAGGCCTTTGGTTGAGACAGGAGGATTTCAAGTTTGAGACCACCTTGGGTAACTTAGTGAATTAGTGAGAACCTGTAGGTAGGCAGGCAGACAGACAGACAGACAGATAAAAAGGAGTGTGGCTCCGTGTGAAGGGCCTGAGTTGAAGGGTAGAATTTTCATAACATTCCTGTGGAGATTTTGCTTGCAACCTGGTTCTGGTAGCTTTCTTTATATTGTATGAAATCTTTTATTATAATGAAATTTTTGAAGATGTGGGAAAATCTGTAAATCCACACATTTAGAAATGAGCACGCTTCTTAGTTGAATGTGGTGTCTCCTAGCTCCCTTCCTACACTTTGACCAGTGAGACTGAATAAAAAAGTGTGGAGGAGCAGACAATGAGAGATGACACAGGTGACGCCTAGTTCCTTGCACAGGCATCTGGTGGCAGTTTCCCCACTCATACTGGATGCCTCAGTCCTGCAGGGGAGAGGACCAGGGACCTGGTGCGGCCAGGCCTTGAGGCAGGTACTTGGGACGCTCTGCCCAAGGCCACTTTTCCCAAGAATTCTTTCTCCTCATTTTCTGATTAAGATAAAATGACTTAAGGCCTGTTCCATGGAAATGGCAGTTCCTCGTCGTTTGCTTTTAAGATAAATGTACACTTATTCTTGATAGACCCTCAATAACCACCACTTAGATTCCCAGCAGCTTTAGGGAGCTGTCAGGTCGAAGGCAGGCGATGCTTTGTATCGGTGTAGCCTTCCTTTTGTAGTCCAGCCTCAGAAGTCAGAGCCCCAGCTGCTCTGCTGCCTTTCTGCATATGGTGCAACATTTGTCAATATTAAATTTAATTTGTACTAAGAGCCGGTCCCTAAGAGTGAAAACACAAAGCTTGCTGAACTTTACTTCGCCTGTGTGTTCAGTACAGCCAGCATTAGCAAAACCAATAAATTCAGCAACATTATCCTCCTCAAATCTAGGTCAGCTCTGTTGATTACAACTGTTACAGGTTTAGGAACTGGCCCTATTAAAGCCCCCATCAAATTTAACTATATCTGAACCTATGGCATCTCTTGTACTCTTGAAATAGAAGAGCCTGAGCAACAGTCCCATGGGTCAATGTTAAGGATCATGATCAACAACAGACATTTATTAAGCGCCTATTGTGTGCAAGGCACTGTACTAGGTGGGGTGGCTACAAAGTCAAAGGAGAAACAATCCTTGCCCTCACGGGGCTTACAATCTAATTAGTCTAACAGGACACATATATAAGAAGACAAAGGACAATGCCAGGTAGCATATAATATTAGGGCACTGAGTAGAAACAAACAGGATTTCAGCCTTTTTTGCATTTGCTTTTCAATACCCTGAGTAGGTGGGGGCGAGTGAGCTGGAATAGAGCGGGGGTTACCTGTTTGGTTTCCACCCTAGCACTCTCTCACCTCTTTCCATTCCCAAGTATCTCCAGGTCTGTGCTAAAACCCTGCAATGGGTCCACTTCTCCTAGCCTCCCAGCCAGATTCTGACCACAGGCCCCTAACAGGGTGGTCCACATCCTGGTTTCCCCAGGGCTGCCCTGGTTTTAGCAAGGCAAGTCTGCGCTGTGGGACTCCTTTCTCTTCCCTTCTCCTTGGCCCCAGCAGGAGGGCACTTGGGAAGGACCTTTTCCTGTGGCCACAATGGACTCTTCCCACCCACTCCGGCCATTGCTCCGGCAGGCTTTGCCCTAACCTGTCCCCAGGTAAGTCTCTAGTTTTAAAACACGCAAGGAAGACTCTTAACAGCCCCAAAGGCTGCTGGTTTGAGAGCACACGGAAGACAGAAAAATAAAGTCAGGAGAGATTGATATCAAAGAGACAGAATGAGGCTCAAGAGGGAAACTGTGCAGATGGGAGAAATGACTGGGTCAGGTATGAGCCATGCAGAGACCGAATAGGACCTCAGATCTTCTCCTGGAGTAGGGTTGATGCAACAATTTAAACCATCACCCTGGTGGGCTGAAGGGCGTTTTCTGAAATAAGTTCATTCTTACACAAGGGTGAATATCTGGGCAGGTACTAGATAGATACACATGCATTTAAATAGCGTTGTCCGAAACCTAACAGAATTCCAACTTTCTCCTTTCACTTTTGCTTAACATTCATTTAGCTTCTAAATCATACCTTTAGTTTTTTTGAAGGGAGTGTTATTTCAAAAACAAGAAAATTCCCCTCCATTATAATTCAATTCAGAGAGATCGGTAAAGGACAAAACTTTTGGAAAAGAAAGGTAATCTGCTGAGAGGTGTCCTCTGGAATCCAGTATTAACCTAAGGATTCCAACAGGCTGCACAGATTTCTCTTTTACGTATAGTAGTTTGTGTTAAGTTGTTAAAAGAAAACACTGAACTCTAAAAGCCTAGGACCTTGGAGGTCCTGAATTGTTTTGGTTTTACATCAAGCCCTCAGGAGTGCATTCCAGGGTTAGCGAAGCACAGGGACTTAGTTGCCAAACACCCATTAACGGTAATGGAAATCACACAGTAAGTCCCCACGCAGTGCACTGAATATTTACCTCCTAATGTTCTTTTAATGTACGCTTTCTTGGGTGAATATTTACTGTGGAATATTAAATGTGAGATTCCTCTTTTATGGGCCATTTGAAGTGATTGATTTTGTTTGTGAATTCCTGTATCTTTGCCCATAATGGCTATCTATTGTAATGGCCCCTGCCAAATGTTCTTGTATTGAAATAACAGAAGCCATGGGTCGGCCAGCGGTGGCATTGTATTACTGTGGTCTTAAAAGCTGGGAGGAAGCTGATGACACAGCTGGGGAGAGAAGGAAAAGGTGTGGTATGGAATGAGTCTGACTTCGGCTTCAAATGTATTGAAATCACTGAGGTCTGTAAACATGGTTTGGTAGTCGTCTTTTATATCTGTGTTTATATGTAATGGTATCGAATGGTGTTAAGTCTGACAGTCATGAAATGATAGTGGCAAGACAAAAGTTCAATTGCCCACAACCAGGTCCATCAGCATAATCCATCAGGAGTCTAGGCATTTGCTTTCATGCTGCAATACAAGCACTACCCAAGTGGTAATTTCTTACACATATTTATAGCATTGAAAAAAATATGAACTCAAATTCTAGCTACATTTCCCAGTGAGGCCAAGACTTTCGCTCTTTCCACTCTTCTAAGTATTTCAAAGGAAGTGGTTACAAAAAGATGGAGCTGTCCTAATAATTTTTTTAAAGCAAAACTTAAAGATATACCACTAGGTAAGATAATGCTACATCTTTGTAACCACGCCTTTCCAAATTGCCATAAAAATATAACTTGTCAGAGAGTCAACATCTGAGCAAAATAATCCCCTCAAAGTGATTGTAAATGTGGCCTATAAATAATTTGCATAAAATCCATATGCTTTTTATGTTCATAGAAACATTGTGTGTTCAAAGTCCATGCTGCAAAGAGACAGTGTTGGAGTAAAACTCATTCTCCTTTTAAAAGCAATGACGAAATTTTAAAAATGAATTCCATTATGTTCTGGATAGTTACTTCAGCGTTTTACTGCCTTTAACAGATCAAGCCACACCATAATAATACCAACTTTGTTTTTGTCATATGAATACTTGGACTGTGTTTGCATTTGGACAACAATAGCCCATATAATTAGTAGTACTAGTTAATGAAAGGAAATGGAATCTTATTACTAAGGAGAGAGAAAAGAACAGGTAAGGGAGAGGCCTTAAGTCACAAATTGAGTCATGACAGTCTCCATATATAGTATTTGCTGGCATCTTCAAGTTTTGCATTACAGAACTAATGCCTCCAAAGCAGTGTGTAAAAAACAAAAACAAAAAACACAAGTATATTCTTAAAAGACTGTTTTTGAACAGTACTACTAATTTAAATGAAAATCTATCATATTAATTGGTCTTGGTTTGTATAAATTGAGTCCTCCATATTCTTTCAGACCAAGGAATAGTGGTGATTATAATTTAAGATTTGCAGTGAGTCTGAGTAGTAAATAAGATAATGAATTGTATGATAGGGAATCTTTTTCTGTTCTTTCCTCCTCCTAGAAGGTCAGCTCCTTGCACTTGTAGTCAGGGAACACTTCAGAAGTGTGTGTGTGTGTGTGTGTGTGTGTGTGTGTGTGTTGTTTCTTGAGAAGCAGGGGACAGATTTAGCCAATGGGGATCTATCCAGGAGGAAGTGCTTTAACCCCAGAGAGAGATAAGTAGTTACACAACTGGAATATAAAATGCTTGCAGAATACGGGTCTTGGCAAAGTTGGAATCCTATCATTTGAAATATAAACAGTCTCACAACAAGTCTACGTGGACCCTATGGAGTCTTAGGAACAAAAACCTAGGAGATCTTTCAGCACAGTGACATTGTTCTAAAGAAGAGGAAACTAGGGCTTAAGAGAAGTTACTCATAGCCATTGTTACTAAAGGAAACTATCTTTAAGGTTTCTTGCTAGCATCTTTTTGTTTTAATAACACAGTTTTTGGTTTTCAATTTTGTCCTTTTGGAGCATGTCTGTCCATTAGAAAATGTTATAGCTGTTCTCACTATGAAATAGCAATTTTCTTGAAGCCTAGAGGTCCAAAACACATGTTACACAACATTTTCAGGTCAAATACCAATGGCATGCTGACAGTGAGCACTGCAAACACAGTGACTCATCAACCCAACTCTAGGCCATTTCTAACCATCATTGAGGATTAGAGTTAGGAAGAATAAATTACCACATAACCATACTCTATAAAAATACTGGCCTACAGCACACTAAAAAACTCTCAATAAATAAATATCGAACGTTTGCCCTATGAAAGTCAGTCAGTGGAGATGTGCTCTTCAAAAACCATGTCCATACTTTCAGGCTGCTTTTTTACAAATCACACAAACAGTCTGACAAATGACAAAGTTTATAGATCGGGTTAGAATACAGCTTGATAGAAAAATGTCTTTTGACACGGTGTTTCTATAAAGAAATGCAACCAGCGTTGTGGAGTTGCTCTTTCCGGTTTCAAAGGCAACACTTAAAGAGATCCAAACTGTTTTTAGCTAGGGCAGCATCACTGAAAGGAGCATTCAGTCCCTAATGTGACTCCTTTCAAAGGGACAACACTCATCAGGACTCTTTTACTCTGGAATTTGATGTCTCAAGCCAGCTGCAGTGCGCTGTGGTCACGGTGGCGGGCAGCTGTCCATGGTCCCGAAGGAGCGACGCGGCTGTCTGCCACCGATCGTTTTCAGTTCTTGTCTGGTGGCGCCCAGAGTCCCATACTATGGGTACCCGGGATTGTGGTCTGGGGTTAGGATCTTGCATACTCATTCCTTAGAACACAGGTTTATTCTCCGGATGATTTACAGCAGGTGATTCTGGTTTCCAGTCTGGTTGAAAAAAATGAATATTGAAGGTCCGTGCCCAGTTCTTAAATACTCGCTTCTCTGTGATGAACCGGTGATGGCTGCCCTTCCGTCCCCGCTCGTGGGAGAGGTACATTGTACATTCATCAGGTCCGAAAGGTTCATAGTAATGATAAGGTACTGAAAGGTGATTCGGATCCCTGTAGGAAAAAAAAAATGAAATAACCAATTAAAGACAAAAGTTTTTTCATTGACTGATTCAAGCAAATACGCCGACAAGCACAAATCTTATTTTCTAGTCAAATGAATTTTGGCAATATTTTAAATGTTTATTCAGTAAGCAGGCGAGGAAGTTTTGAGGTGTGAAATAAATGCAATGACCAGTATTATCAAACAGAAATTAAAAATGTCCTTAGGATGGTCAGTCTTCCAAGATCGAGGCACTACATGTCTGTAGTCACAATTATACTGTTTAAGCTCTTGCTCCCATACAATTTAGTACAAATAGCTATAGAGATATTTATAAAACAAAAGCACATTATTTTCCAGAGAATCATCTCAAACTCTCCACAGACTTCTAGTTATAGTGAGAGCGCAGCCTGCAGGGTCTTCCCCCAAACCACCAGCCCTGTCCACTCTGCCCCAGCCACGCTGAGGTTTCTCACTGTCAACTCCAAGCTCATCAATGCCTCAGGGCCTTTATCTTGGGGATTGGTTACCTGTCTAGAACCATCTCCATGAGTTGACTCCTTCTCACCATTGTCCATCAACTCGAATAAGTCTCCCACAGAGGTCTTCCCTGATGCCTGCTCCTGACATGTCATCTCACTTTCTTCGTGGTGTTAAACTGTTCAAACTGACTTTATTATTTACTTGTTTATTGTCTTCTCAAGAGGGCAGCAATTTGTCTTATCCCTAGCACAGTGCCTGCAAGGGGCTCCGTAAATAACATGTGAGTGTCTGTTGCTGAAAGAACTTTCTATGGAGCTAGTGGTGAATAGCAAGCTTCTAAAGACATTTTTTTTCCACCAAGTATGGAAAGCTGCTGCTTCTATTTTGATAAAAAGAAGGCAGCAAGAAAGAAGTCACCATCTCCTTCTCATTGCTCTAGACGGCCTGTGTACTCAAGGAGTTGCTTGGTCCAGAAATTCTAAATCCTCAATCCCTACTGTGTAGCCCAAGGTTTTCTCCTTTATTTGTCAACCTCAGCCTCAAACAAGAAATACTAGCTCATCTCTTCAAGGTATCACACACAGGAATAGCATGGGGGTATTGGGAGTGCCATTGTAGGGTCACTAAAGAGTATTAATCTCAAACTAGTCTCCACTGTGGCCCATCCATCCACCTGCGTTTTGAAGAGTAGGTGATAAGATCTAGGTTTCCCAGCAGACAAACTTTTCTACTCCGAGCTACACTCACCAGCTGGCACTGTTGCAGAGACTATGAAGATGGAAGGACCACACTTCCCAGCTTCTTTCAGAGCTCCAGGCTCTGAGGCCCCCTCCAGGCAGGAGCTTGGTTTCCAAAGATAGTCAACCCTGCTAGCCACCTATTCGTTTTCTTCAGAGGAATCAATACACAAATGGCTTTTAGAGTAGCAACTTTACTGGGGTCAGGGATCGAAGTCTTTTATCAAGAGAGGTGTCAAGTTTGTGGCTCTGACAATAATAAACCTTTGAGCAGATTCTTCTCTTGGGTTAAAGTTCTTCCAGGAAGAGAGATTTATTTTTGTCATGTAGCATCGAAACATCCCTCATCCTGACACGGCAGCTGTGCGGAGCTAATCTCTACATCTCTGAATCACTTCTCTCCAAAGGGTGTGTTGTCCAGTCCAGTGAAACTCTTAACTCCTGCCCTGTCTCACTGTGACAGATTTCACTGATTTGCTGACCCTAGAAATTGGAATTCCTTAAAATGTTAACAGAAGATGTTTTCAATACAGAAAATGCATCGTAGGGGAGGGTTTACACTGGAAAGAAAAATAAACAAAAGGGAGTAGAAACCTGTGGGGAAAACTTCTGCAAGTTTACATGGTACAACTTGGAGAATCATGCCACGGTGCCACGGGATGCTCAGGGTTAAGCTTTCATCCCATCGCAAATCAGGTTTTACATCTGACTCATCTAAGTTTTGGACATCTTATTGGCATCAATCTGGCTAAAGAAACAATTAGGCTTCTAAAAATATCACGACATTGATTTGGCACCCAGGAATAGAGGGTAATTGGAGCCCAGCTAAGGGATGCTATGGGATCAATTTCCTTATTCAGAAGACCATCTCTCTGAATGAAAATTTATCTGACTCCATATTGATCACCCAACAAGAGAATTAAATTAACATATTTGGGTATTTTGATTCCAGAGGTATCCAAATGGGCCATTTGTGTAAGGGAGAGTTGTTCCCATGTTTTCACTGTCTGTCCAAGCAGCAGAGAAGAGCTGTGCGTGACTTGGGAAGGCAGAGCTGCTCCCTGGGCTGTGAGCCTGCTCTCAGCTGGATTCCACCTCTTCCTTTAGAAGGCCCTTCCTGGCTGACAGTTATAAATCATCAGGTCTCCTCTCAGATCTGACTTACTAAAGGCTGCCACAGCTCTATTCCTTTGCCTGGCCCCATTGAAAACAACCACAAACATCAGCAAATTTTCCACACATAGAAGCTACCAGAAAAGGAAAGGTTCTGGTGCTTGAGTTTCTGTTCGGGGTCAAGTAAAGTTGGAGAGGAGGTGGCAGTGGAGGATGGGGAGGAGATGTCACAGAGCCCGTTCCGGGTGGCTGCATGCTGCTGTGCACACTACAGGGGCCCCTGTGGGGATGAGTCCTCCTGTGCAGTGTGAAGAAGTTTTTCTTTGGCATTTTAGGGGAAGCAGAGGCAGAGTGAAGGAACCAACATTTCGTGTACATTGCAGACTTAAAGAAATGCTATTGTTGGTTGGTATGCTGCTCACATAAACTCTGGTTTAAATTAGGTCTCAGGCATTAACTTTTTTTTTAACCCAGGGGTGCTTGACCACTGAGGTACCTCACTAGCCTCTTTTGCTCTCCCTCCCTCTTTTCTTTCCTTCTTTCCTTCCTTCCTCCTTCCTTCCCCACACCTTTCTTCAGTATGGGGGCCTCACACAAGCTAAGCAAATGCTGTACCTCTAGCCCTTGTCCTTTATTTTGAGACAAAGTCTTGCAAAGTTCCTCCAGGGCAGGCTGTGAACTTTCAATCCTCCTCAGCCTCTGGAGTGGCTGGGATTCTAGGTGTGCACCACGGCGTGGCCAGCATGGTATATTTTACAGTATATTTTAAAGTAGGCTTGGGCATCCAAATGAATAAGGGCAGCACTGGATAAGAAAACCCATACAATGAAATAACAACAGAAGTACTGTCTTTGCCTTTCTTTCTCCAGAGCTCTCACTGCCTCTAAAGCCACTGCTTTTCTTGGCAGAGAGTTGGTACTGAGGAAATGTTTGAAGACTAGAGTTAAATTAATGGTTGTCAAGTTAAGTAAATGGTTGTTCTACAACTGGCTTTGGGGGACACTGTGTAGCATTCAAAAGAAAATGCTGTTACAACAGCCCCTCCTGGTGTTCTTCAGAGCTATGAAACCTACTCAACCACCTGTATCCTGCTGTCTCCATTTCTTGTCTTTGGAGCCTCTTTAGAAGAAAACCAGCTGCACACTTTGGAAGCCTATGGCATTAACACTTATGCATGGTGAAAGGAGCACCAAGAACCTGCAACTGCTCAGCTCTGGTGGAATAAGAGCTGTGTGAGTCCCCAGAACTCCACTTTGGCCCCCAACTCAGTCCCCTCAGGGAATGCCATAACATCTCAGAATGGATCACTGGTACCCATGGGAGGCAGAAAGTAACGGAAATACCTGGTGACTGGTAAATGTTGGTCAAATCATGGCAAAGTTGGAAGAAACAATAAGATTTCAGGAAGAAATACCACAATATATTTTAGTTCTCATTTATAAAATATAAACCACACAGATAGCATTTCCACTCCACACCTGTCTATTATCTGTCAGATTCTGCACAATGGACCACTGCCAAATAAGAACTTCTCCTGTTACTTACAACTGGCGGCTTTATTAATGTTCAGTAGCTAATAATTCTAGCAGAATCAACTCTCTGGTATTCATGATACCTTTGAGATGTCCTTCACATTATGGATGAGATATTAATTTAGTTCCATGACAGTGATCACTCTGAATCATTACCCCACTAATTAATACTCAAGAAATGATGGGTAACAGAGAGTTGTAAACTTGGTTGTGTGCTAAGTATGACCAGAAATAAGACTATTAGGTAGAATTGAAATGCTTGGTCCACAATCATTGCAATACTTTACAGTGGGAAAGAAGATTAAAAAGCTCACCATAACTTAGTTTAGAAAGCAAAGATAACAGATATTTTCACTGCAATTTATAATCCATCTAGGGAGAAAAGATTTGGCTCCCTATATGCCCATGGCATGATTTAAGAATAATATATCCTCAGAATTATACATTTTGATACTGTCTCTGGTGTAACATGACAATAATTTTTTTCCTGGCTTTCTGAACACTGATACGCATGCAGTCTGATGAGGGTGGGAAGGTACGGGCAGAGCCTGTGAGAATGCGATGCTGGCCCTGGATGAGAATAAAACAGTGTGTGGCCACCACTGATTTCTGGGCCCTCCTCAAAAATTGGCATTTGGCATCTGCTAAGTACACTTCTCATTCACCTGGAACATTTTTGGGGCAGTGAAAGTTTGGAGTTAATCTCTAAAATACCCCCAAAGAAAATTCATTTTGTTTGTCACTGAGCCAATCTATACTGAGCACGTGCTATGTCTGAGATGCGGTGGCAACTGCTAAAGACATCAGGTGGGAGGTGGGAGCAGGAGGTCCCGAGGTCGAGCCCAGCCTGAGTGACTTTGTGACTCAATGAGACCTTGTCTCAAAATAAAAAGTAAGGAGGGGCTGGCGGTGTAACTCATTGTGAAGGCCCTGGGGTCAATCCCCAACACTGGGAAAAAAGAAAGAAAGAAAGAAAGAAAGGTAGGAAGGAAGGAAGGAAGGAAGAAGGAGAGAGAAAGGAGGAAAGAAATGTCTTTGTGTGTTGTGATCACAAATACTGGCAGTGACTACTGTTGCCAAGGGAAAGGCAGCTCATAAAAACATCACAGCGTGTCCTCCTCCACCTTATTCACCAAATCTGGCACTATGCTCCTTCTGGCTCTTTCCCAGAGTGAAAACGACCATGCAAGGTAAGGGTTTCACATCAATTCAAGACATCCAGGAAGCCACAGCAGCACAATTAAAGACGCTCACAAAAGAGGACTCCCAGAACTGCTTCGGAGAGGGTAAGAATGAGGGCACGAGTGTGTTGGAAGCAAGGGGGGAAACTGGAAGAGAGATTAGCGGCAGTGTGGCTTTCACTGTAATGTATTTTAAATTGAAAAAACTTTAAATGTATTCAAAAGAAATCTTACGCCACAGCCCGTAAGAGCAATAGATCCAAGTGGTTCTGCTTTTGATCAAGGAGCCCAGAGTTCTGTCCTCTTGGCTCCTTACCCAAGGAACACAAGGACTCCTCTAAGTCCGGTTTGGAAGCTGAAGGTGGATATTTCAGTGAAGCTCAGGGACTCAGACACGCTGCAGGGCAGAGAGAGAACATTTTCTCCACAGGCCCCCTAGGCGAACATCTGTCCGTCACGCCCAAATTGTGATCAAGTGTGACTGAGGCAACTGTGGGCAGAGACCTTGTCTCACTCAGCTCTGATCACCTTCTAGGGCCCAAGGAAGAGTAGTTCGGTATAGAAGCCTGTGATTCATTCAGTGAGTGACTTCTTTGAAAGGTCCTGATTGTACCTTAGGGTCTGAAACAGTTGATTTGTGAAAAATGACCAGCTGGCCTTCCTTTTTCTGGCTGAAATCTGGCTCCATATGGGTACACTCAGTGAGAGACTGGGAATCTTCCGGAAGCCGCAGGATGGCTAGGTACACAGCAGGCAGCCCTTGTGATGTTCTGCAAGGAACCTGAGGCCATGTGGAGCCGATTTTCAATGGTGAGAGAGAGTGAGGCCCGTTTCGAAGACGAGGCCATGCCGATCCCTCCCTGCCTCGCACTGCGCTGTTCCTCATGCTCCAGCATCTTCATCAACTGTGCTGACAGATCCCTGAAGAGAGGTCAGTGCATCCCTGCCCCTGGAAACTCATTGTGGACTCAGCCTAATCCGGAACTGTGGGGAGCACACCTGGCCTTGCCCTTATGGAACCATCCTGGGAATGCTCAGGGCCATTCCAGACTCCGCCGCCGTCATCACCACCATCATCACCATCATCAATACCATCATCATCATCATCACCATCATCATCATCATCACCACCATCATCACCATCGCCATTTTACAGTCGGGGAAGGAAGTGCAGACTTCTGAGGCATAGTCCTTGAGTAACTTGCCCAAGGTCACTGAGACTCAGTAAGGTCAAATGACTTTCTAAAGGTCACACACATGCTCCTTAGTGGCGGAAATGCTTCTTCTCACCTACACACAGCTCCCAAGAGAGAGTGGAGGGCGGAGTCCTTGCTCATTTGATCCGGACGAAGCACCTGCTATGTGCTGGAACAGTAACAGCTACTGCGCTGTACCCCTGGGCTCTGACTTCTGAGTCAAGCACACAAAAGTCTCTGGCCTCACAGGGGTCACAGCCCCATGGACTCAACCAGCTCAGTTGCTGCCCTCACAAAATCAGGCCTAGCGACTGTGGGTCCCAGTGTCTGACACATGCATTGTGATCCAGCTACTTTCAAAATGAGGTAAAAAGGCGGGCTGGTTAGACTGGCAGCAGGACTAACTCGCACACTGCTTTTGCGTTCTCTGAGGCTGATACTGTTTGCAGAAGGAGACAGCATTGTTCGTATGATGCTTATGAGAGGATTGCAAGAGCTGCCCTTTTTATAGTCACAGCGAGTGGCTTTGCTACGCTCGTTATTTTTCTGTGGGTGAGGCATACATTAGGCCTTCAGGAGGGAAGTACTGAGTCTTATTCTTTGAATCTCAGCCCCCAAATTCTTGGTATGTTTCAGAGCAACTCTAAAATAATGCTTGGGCACATGTTGGTTATTTTATATCTCTAATAGTATTATATCCCTAAATTAGTAATATTAATGGTACTAAGTAATTGTTCTTGTTCATGGACAGTGTGCAGGGCACTGGGCCCAGCACTCCACACCCACTGTCTCATTTTATCCTCACTGTGAGCTGCTTGTTCTTCTCACTGTCTTCTTATCCCCATTCTACAGATGGGAAAAGCAAGGCTCAGGGTCAGAGTTAGCACCCGGCGTCTGGTGGCTCAGCCAACACGTCCCGGAAATAGAGAGGAAAGGAACCAGGGAATCAGCCTGCGATGGTCCTGGTCTCCCTCGCACTTCCCATGCAGGGACAAGGATGGAGAGCACTGTGGTCTCCCTGGGCCCAAGTCCTCCCATCCAGGTGACATTCAGCTCTGCCTCCTCTCTCACAGATCCCTGGGCACAGCGATCTTTCCCTTGGGTGGGGAGGTCTCTTTCTGAAGAGTTCTTGCTAAAAGCATCTTGAGCAGACAGCTACTGAACCTTAGCAATGGCATCTGACAAGCAGAAATGCAGAGCTGGGCGACATATGGCACATTGACATTATCTTAATTTCCTTGTTAGTATCATTCCATAAATTGTTTCCTTCCTACTGTACACGAAATCCTGATGAACTAACTCTGAATAAGGGAAATGACAGGTTAACTTGCTTTTCATTTGTTTGCCATAATAAATGGAATATTTCCTCGCACACTCTAAGTCATTAACATTTCAGTTTATTTGTGCTTTTTCTTCCTGTCATCCTAATGGCGATACTGCCTAATTATAACTGCCCCACCGCCATCAGATTTGATGGCTCCTTGCAAGTCAGTAAGTGCCTGTCCCACTGCCTTTGTTACGCTGGGGGTCTGGGGAGGCTTTGCTTTTCTAAACCATTCTACCTATTTTTGCACACAGGTTGTTAAGCAGGGAAACAACGCCAGCGGATTAAGTGATGAGGAACTGGGTAAGGATCCAAGCTGCCGCGCCTCGCCCTCGCCATGTTCCAGGCTCTGTTCCAAGCCCGTCACGTGTATTCACTTAGTCAATCCGCCCACGACTCCCCGACGCAGTCTGTTGCCGTCGTGGACTTGCTGCCACAGACGAGGACACAGACACAGCCTCTGGGCTTTCACCTTGCAGTCTGGCCGCTGCCCAGGGCCCGCTTAGGCCACATCTGTGCCTTTCCTTCTCTTTGTGACCTGACTCTCCCATATCCACCCGTGCTGTCGCTGTGCGGGATCTTTGGGTTAAAAAGGGTGGAGAAAAGTGGAACACGGTGAGAGCAGTGCCCGGGCTTCAGTGCACCAAAACCACACTGAAAGGCATCCTGATTGGGAGATACTAAGAGACAGGACAGGTGAAGAGGTGATTAGGTCAGGAAGGCTCCGCTCTTATGGACAGAGGGGCAGATCGCACATCCCAAGGGTGGGTCTGTTATAAAAGCCCGTGTTTCTGTGTCTCCTGTGTTCCTCCCATCATGTGACATCCCGTGCTACCTCAGAACTCTCTAGAGAGTTGCCAGCAGTGAGAAGGTCCTCCCCAGATCCAGCCTCTTGGGACCTCCCAACCTCCATAACCCATAATAAACCTTTATTCTTCAAAAATTATGCAACTTGTGGTATTCAGCCATAGCAACAGAAAGCAGACTAAGGCCTGCATGATTAAGTACCTTTCTCGTCCTTGCTTTAAGCATTGAAATTGTAGCTTTTGATTTATGACTTTAGGCCTTTGGAATGTTAAGTTTAAAACACATGAAGTTTAAATCAGCAAGAGTTTAAAAATATTTTTTTGAGGTCCTGGGGATTAAACCCAGGGCCCTCATACTGAACTACATCCCCAACTTTCTCTGTCTCTCTGTCATCTATGTCTGTCTGTCCATCTATCTCTCTAGGCTTTGAGACATAGTCTTGACCAGTTAGTTGCTAAGCTTCCCAAGAGTAAAGGCCATGAACAGGATATTGAGCATTCCCGAAATCTGAGGTTTCTGAGTTGTGTGTGTGTGTGTGTGTGTGTGTGTGTTTACCTCAGTGCTTAATTACACATGAGTTCTCAAGTGTGCTTCTAGCAATCAGGGCCCAATACTGCTCAGTGTATCTTCTGGTGCTCACTCTGCCTGGGCCACGGCAGAAGTGGAGACGTGTGCACTCTACCTTTGCAGTGGTGAAGCATAACTGTACCTGAGCTTTGGGCCTAAGGATACAAACCTAGTGTACTGATTGCAAGAGAAAGAGGCTCAGAGGGATCTTTTAATTTTAGAAAACAGGCTTCATCATCAAAGGAGATGCCCTCTTTAATTCATTAAAAAATTACCACCTTCCTTTCAAATGAGAATAAAACTAGTATTTCTTAATGCTTGTTCATTGTTAATATTATGCCAATTATTGCATTACTTTTGGCTGATAAATATTCAGAGGATGAATGAAGCCCATAAGATGAATTAATTCTCCAGGAGTACAAACAAAAACTTTCAATATTTTATACCACATAATTAAATGCTGTTTGTTGCATCCAGAGCCAGAACTCGGGACATGCCAATTAATCGCTTCAAGAAGACAGTTAGACATGTTTCGTGGTTGATGTTCCGAATGAGACTATTTACAAAGCCCTGCACAAGAGCACTGATGAATTACACACTTGCAGAGTAAATCCTACCTGCAGAAGTCCGGGGGCACCATGCCATACACATTGATCCTGTCACACAGCTCCAGGGCAATTGTCATTGTGAACCAGCCAGTGCTGAGCCAGGTGTTGGAGATCTTTCTGGAAAGAGGTAAAGCCACGGTCACACCCACAACCTTCTGAAATGCTTTCTGGAGTTCGCCTGACCATGAGCAGATACGCAGGCATACACATCCTCTCTCTCTCCCTCTCTCTCCCTCTTGCTCTTGGTCTCTCTCCATTTGGCCAGTATCTGGACCTTATCAAATCAACCTCTCACACCAGTACCTTCATATTACACCCACCATCATAACTGATACACGTGCTTCACCGTGGCGGATCAGTGACACCAAATTGTCCTGCTCATGGGACTGCTTGTTACAACTCAATTGTTTTTGTACGATGACAGTGTTTATGTGACAGTTCTAGAAACATACCTGGGTAATTAGAAATTTTCTTTCTACCCCAAACAGGCTAGATAATAAATTAATAATTTAAATGATTAAGCATGTAGATCTAGCATCTATTTCTATCATCTGTTTATTACCTATCACCTGTCTATTGATCTATACATTGACTGATTAATCTCAAAGTCAAAACTTGCCTTCAGTGGACTTAACAGCACCAGCATCTTGGCTGAATGTCTTTGTTTTGGAGAAGTACACTTTTTTGGGAAGGGGCTAATGACCAGCTGAGACAGACCATGGCATCACTTATATTTAACTAAGTATTTGCTTTATTCTCCCTCAGAGCATTCTGAGGGCTGTGAAAGTTTTTGTTAGAAGCTAAAAATTGATAAATATAGAGCACAAGTCTGTACACGCCACTCTTCGTTAACTGCCTTTTTGGATTTCTGTCTTGAGCTCAACAATGTGCTAAGCCCAGGGCGGACGGTGGAGACAGCATCCAGGTTTAATTTAACCCTGACAGAATGCCCTGTAGGTCCTCCGTGCCATGCTGCTGTGGATATTAATTTCAATTCCTTGGGGGTTGCTGCTTCTCCTCCCTTCCAGGGCCCACAGCACGCCTCATTAGCCAGTTTCAAACACCTCATCCCCAAGGTCAGACTTCTGACTTTTCCCGGCCGTAGCACAGTACCCACATGGGCTGTGAACAGCAGAGTTGCAGAAGGGCTTTCTCCCTGCCCTGTGGCGCCCTCCATGAGGACACGGAACACTTTGTTAAGCAGCATGCATTATTTCCACTTCATGTAAGAACAGAATAAAAGAGGGCGTTTCTGAGGAGTCCTTTGTTTCATCAGATACCTGACAGGCATGACTGATTTAGTCATCCCTACGTCCGGCTTCCTTTGCTCAACTTTCCCTTCCATTTCTTTCCATCCACAGCCAGTCACAATCCATGAGCAGCTCCTAAAGATGCCAATGCTGTGGGCTCATCTCTGACCTGCCTCTGCTAGCCCAGCCCAATGACCTGGGGCAGGCCGCTGCATTCTCTGACTCTGGATTCCATCTATAAAGCAGGTGGAGGAAGCTGTCCTTTGGGTAATTTGAGAACTAAATGAGAGAACTCCCCAGAAAACATCCAGTGTGCTGTGTAGGCCCTGGAGATCCTTCTTTCTCTCTTGTTGCCAGGTTGAACAAACAAGTCATTATCCACTCATCCCTTTTGGTGGTGAATTTTAGTACCTGAGAAGAAAATCATTCTAATACTGGGGCTTTCTGTGGGAGTCACCACAGCAGGCAGGGCGGTAAGTATCAAGTTCAGAAGCCTCTGGCTTCCACAGGAATTGGCAGTTTCCTTCCCACTCCACGGGGGCTGTGTATTCAAGAGAACTTGGAGGCTGGAGGGGCCAGAGAGAGCAGAGCTGCCTGCGGGGCAAGGGGCAGGGAAGAAAGTACCTTCCACTAAGTTGCAGCCTGTCTTCCCCTCCGTGCTGTGACAGCACACTGGCCACTTCGTTTTGACCCAAGGAGCCCTGGAGGAGAGCAGCGCTCACTTCTGTCCTCAGGGTCCTGATCCGGGACTCACGCCTACCTGAAGTCTCTGTGCTTTCAAGCTGCAGGAAGCACCACCAGGGGCTGTGCCCAGGGTCAGAGCCTCTCCGAATTTGGGCTTTTATATGTTGGAGAGCAGCTCACATCCTCAGCCTGAAATAAAGGAGGAGGATGTGGCTCTACCTGAGAAGGCTTTGTGGGTAAAAATGGGGGAGAATGCAGAGTGGAGGACTAAAGAAACTCAAGTGAAGAGTTCTTTAAAGTGCCACTTAAAATTCCCCAGACTTCCTAAATAACAGCCTTTTGGGATCACGTGCAGTCGCAAAAGCAACCGCTTTGTACTGTCTTTCTAAAGAGATTTGAAGTCTTTTTCCAACAAAGGAATATCTACTGTTTTTACACTTAATCAGCTGTAATGAAAGAATATGAAGAGCTGTCATGTGCTTATTAGGGAAAATTATCAGATATTCTTTTATATGATGAAGTAACACACTGAGCTGATAATTCTATAGTGCAAACTAAATTACAATTAAAGGCCTTTCTGCTCTACGAGAATCTCATTTATAATCTCTATGGAAATATTCTTCCAGCAGTTATTTCATTTATGCTTCCTTTATCTAATTACTGTAATATTGGCTCTGAATCCTATTTTCCTAATGCACCCTTATTCAATTATAAAGTTATTTTCAAGTACAGTTACTCTCTAATATCAAAGAATACCACTCGGCCATCTATGTCATTTGTCATGCTTCTTAATTGCAGACTGTTCCTGAGCCATTTTTCCTCCACTTTTAAGTAGAGTGAAACTTCGATAAATCAAAATCTATCGAGTTACCCATTTCTTCCAAAGAGTAGCCTGAAATGAACGTCCTGATCACGAGATCTGAAAATTAGATATTCCACCCTTCGTATATCTTCAGTGCATGCTCCTGTTTGGGTTTTAGGTATGGAGGAAACACCACTGCACCCTGAAATGTTCTGTGTTTCTAATGGCAGAAATGATGCTGTGCTGAAAAGGTTGTTTCTGACTTGGCTCTTTTAGCTTGGAGCAAGCTTCTGGATCAGAATGTAGACACACGAGAATATTGAGTCAATAATAATTTTGTAAGTGGGTAGGGTAGGGGAAAGGTAATAAGGGAAAAATATGAGAAATGAAAAAATGGAAATAAAGTATTTGTCAATAGGGAGGGGAGCAGGGGGTGAAGGGAGGGCAGGGACAAGGGCAAAAAATGAGAATCAAGACCGTCATGTAAAGGTATAAGATCCCAATTATGGATGTAACTGTATTGTATATCTGGAATGTACCAGTAAACTCAATGAGAAAAAAAAATTTGTAAACATAGCTGCCTAAAATCTGGAGGCACAAAGATGCTGGAAAGGTTAATGCAATTTGGCACTGAACTTTGTTAAATGCGATTCCCTGTGTAGAGGGAGAGGGCCCTGGAAGATGGGGGTCTGCAGAAAGGGGCCTAGGAGTCTCTCTGCAAGGACTTGGCTCTCTCCTTATGGCTGGGAGCACCAGCAAGGCAGACACAGCAGGCAGAGTTTTACTGGTCAGAATTTAGTGATGCGCACAAGATGTCTTGGTGTGAAGCTGCTTCCTAAAGATCCTAAGTGGCCACAGGGTGGGATGATTTTGTTTCCAAGTTACTCACTAATGCGTTCCCCTTAAGGAGATGCGGAACAACGTGCAGCCGTCCTGCATCGGAGGCGCAGGGATTCTTAAATTTTACAAACAACCGTTACACTAAAAAGAGTATTTTTTTATGAAAGAGATAGATAGTCTCTACATATTTTTGAAATTTTGAAATTTCCAAGCAGTGCAATTAAGCTGTAAATAACTTTCTTTCTTTGTCCCTTAGAAAATGCTTTCCTGCCTAACGCGCTCAGTTAAGTGAGCAGCACTCTTTTCTGTGAGCTGGGTTGAAGGGTAGCATATGGCTGGATGTCATGGTGGCTTGTGGTGGTGGTCAAGACCCGCAGTCTGCCCTGGGTCTGGTGGACCTCAGCAGAGGACCCACAGTAGCAATGGCAGCCCAACCCAGAGCCGAGTCCAGCAGTGCTAGCCCTTGGTCCCAAGGTGCCCAGAGTTTAAAGAGCTAGCTCTTGGGCTTGGGATTTAGCTCAGTGGCTCCACCCCTGCCTTGCAAGCACAAGGTCCTGAGTTCGATCCCCAGTACCAAAAAACCCCCCTTCCCCCCAAAAAACAGAAAAAAAAACTAGCTCTTCCCAGGAGAGGTCCAGCAGGGGCAAAGAAATTTCTATTTTTAGTTTTTAAAGGAATCTCCATATTTCTAAAGTGGTTATACTAATTTATACTCCCACCAACAATGGAAGTCATCAAATTATAGTGATGCCCATATTTAGCAGCAGAACACACATTAGCTAATTATGGAAGTGGCTTCTAAGCCCATCAGCAGATGAATGGATAAAGAAATGTGGTTTATACGTACAATGGTATGCTCCTCAGACACAGAGAAGGATATATTTGAGTCATTTGTAGAAAAATGGATGGATTGTTGAGATCATAATGCTAAGTGAAATAAATCAGACACAGAAGGATACACATGGCATGGATTCTCTTATATGAGAAATCTAGGCTGTAAATAGCTTGTAGAGTAAAATAAAGGAGAGATGGTAGGAAACAGGGGAGGTAGCCTTTTTGGAGATGGAAAGAGGAAGGGGCGAGTGGAAGAGAAAGGGGAATAAAAAGGATACAGATGCGTGCATACCAATTCTCTAAAAGAAGTAACTATGTATGGCAAACACATGCTAACTTAGAAAGGTAGTTCTTCCACACACAAAATATCTGGGGACACTGGGGTTTAGTCTTTCTTTAAGACTCTTTTCTAGTAACATGCTGCCTACGCTGGCCAAATAGTGGGTTTGGTACTTCTTCACTGTACCTATCATATCTCTTTAGTGTTAAGAAATTGACTCAATGACACTTTACAGAATGGCAAATTACATCATTAAACACACACGAGTCGTGAAAGCACATGCTTCAGAATGAAGGAGAAGTAACTGTGGGAGGAGCCCAGCGGTTGGTACTCACTGCCCCATGACCTGCACACTTCTGTCCTGTGTTCCACCAGGCTCTGGCTGGCTTGGGACCCTTCCTCTTTCCACCTCATCTTGTATAAATAACGCTTCCCCGAGTGCAGACCTGGGGGCTACTCTCCACCTTCTGCTCGTCTCTCACACTGGGTTCCTGTGACCCTCCTTCTCTGCTTGGATAAATGCTCACTGGCCTAGCTCTCCACTTCATTTTACCTTTTGGACAAAGCCCTTTCCGTACATCCACCAGTAACTTGCAAAAATCTTCAATTTATACTTAGAAACACAGGTTACATCATGACTGAGAGTACTTACATACACACACATATGTGTATGCTTTCTCGTTTCATATATTTTTAAAGGGTGTAATTCATCCGTTTTAGTATAGGCACAGGGTTACAAAACAATCACTACTAATTTGTGACCATTTTTTATCACTTAAAAAAGCCCCTCAATCTATTTACCTTATCACCTGAAATAAAAGTGTTGGAAGCAACATTGTGCCTTGCCTCCTCTGTGGGATGAATGCTGATACTGTCGTCTGTTCTCTTCCATTCTACAATCTTTCTGTGCCTCTTTACAGTGGCTTATGTGTGTGTGTGTGTGTGTTTTTTCTCATTGAGTTTACTGGTGGTACACTTTAGGTATACAGCACAGTTACATCCATCATTGGGACGTTGTACCTTTACATGACAGGTCTTGGTTCTCATTTTTTCCCCTTGTCCCTGCCCTCTCTTCACTCCCTTCTCCCTTCCCTATTTACAAACACTTTATTTCCATTTTTTCATTTTATCATTTTTTTCTTTTCCCTTATCCCCTTTCCCCTACCCTTCCCATTTCCCCTACACCTTTAACCCTTTTCTTCCTATTTCACATTGTCAATTATATCATTAGGATCTTATGTACCATTATAGTTTTTCACACGAGAGAAACAATTTGGTATTTACACATGTGTGACTTATTTATTTCACTTAGGAGTGTATCCTCAATATGTACCCATTTTCCTAGGAATGACTCTAATTTCTCATTCTTTATGGCTGAGTAGTATTCAAGTTTATAGAAAAACCACATCTTCTTTATCTAGTCTCCAACTGATGGGCAGTTGGGCTGTTTCTAAGTGTTAGCTATTACAAACTGTGCCACTATAAACATAGGTGCCCATATATCACTGTGATATGATTCTTTTAATTCTTTTGGAAAAATACCCAGCAAAGGGATGGCTGGGTCAAATGGAACCTCTAGTCCTAGTTCTTTGAGCTATCTCCATTTTGACTTCCACAGTGGTTGCACCAGTCTGCACTCTTGGCTTCTGTGTGTTAATCAACAGTTTGGGAACCATTGCCTGAGACCATGCCACACCGCCATTTTGGCCCCTCCCATGATGCTCAGCCCGCTGGACACTGCTGGGTGATTGCTTAAGACTATATTCTTGGAGGGCAGGGTCTCACTTTTTACTGTGTCCAAAGCAGCATGCAGTGATGAGCAAGTAACAGGTACTCAATAAATACCATTTGAATGAAAAAAAAAAGTTTGCCTTTCGAAGGGAAAAGTAAACGCGCACACTTCTTTTCAGTAAGCATTCACAAAGTAAAATGAAATGTATCAAGGTTAGTACGAGCGAGCTGTTAGCAAACTATATGGTGAATGTTTACATTTACAAAGATTTCTATACAAGACATCCTGACACGAATCTCCTTCAAAAACTCCCTGTTTCCTTGTGACACATTCACCCCATCATTCTTGCCACTTTCTGAAGCAGTTGAAGGCGTCTCCTTTCTTAAGGTCTTCACAAGGTGTGATCGAAAACGCAGTGAACGCTGGTGCTGAGTGACACCCACGGCGAAGGCAGGCTGGTAAAAACACCACGCAGTGTCCTCCTCCACCTCACTCACAAGACGACCACGAAAGGTCAAGATGACCTTGAAATGGAAAGGTCAGCGTTTTGGGAGGCCTCGACAGCACCACTAAATCCACACAGAAGACACGTTCCAGAGCTGCTTCAGAAAGTGGGAGGCAGGCTGGGGTAAGTGTGCAAAGAGAGGGATTGAAGGAAATGTATCTTTTACCCTACTAAATTAAAAAAAATTTCACCGTACATTTCAACCACACCTTCTACACAGCATCTTTTCGAATGCAGGCCAGCAACGGCATGGCATGACCTTTTCTCAAAAGCTGAGAAGTGCTGTGGGGACCCCTCAGTGAGCTCCATTCAGTGGCCGGGGCAGTGGGCCCCGCACATGCCCTTCCGGAAGCTCTGCTCTCAGAGGATCAGCCAGGCCCGCCCCGCGCCCTGCACCTGTCTTTGCCGGTCTCCTGCTTGAACAGCTCGTCGAAGTGCAGCATCTTGTGGCGCGTGATCATGAAGGCCTTCAGCCGCGGCAGCACCTGGCTCAGGAGCTGCAGGTTGTTGTACACCTGGCCCTTGCCGTCCCGCCGCATGTAGCTGCTGGGGCCCCAGAAGATGAACACAGTGCCCTGGCTCACGTTGAGCAGGTCGTGGCGGTTGCGGAGGATGCGCTGGATGCTGGAGTGGGCGATGACCCTCAGGCTGGTGCGGTTGCCCACGTCGTGCCCATAGCCGCGAGTGGGGGCGTCGTTCATCCGGATGACACACTCGGTCTGGTCAATCTGCGGGCCTTGCTGACTGCGCAGCAGGTGTCCTGAGCTGGTCACCAGGGCGCAGTCCCTGCAGTGCATTTTCAGGGGCTGGAAGGCAGGGGGTGGAGAAGGACAGGGTCAGGCCCAAAGGATTCCCCTGGTCCCGGGAGGCTACTTCTGGCCGAAATAGAAGGGCATCCATCCCTTTTCTTGTCCCGCTCAGGCTGCTGTGACTCCATGGATCCCTACTTTCTTTTCTAAACTGGTGACAGGGGCATTTGGAAAGGGAGGAAGATAGCTGGGATTGGTCTGCTAAGCAATGGCTTGGGCCTTGCTTCACTGATCGTAAAGACCATCATGAGGCGTTAACCCCGCATCAGTATCATTTTGTGGATGAGGATGCTGGGGCCTAGGAAATCTGCCCACGGTCCTTCCAGTAATGGGATCGTACTTTCAAAGCTAGATCTTTCTGACTCTGGAGTTCCCCAAATTGAAGCCAGGACTATACTGCAAATTGTCAGGACTGTTTTTTTTTT